GCCTTAGGCACTACGCTACCAGAGCTCCTCTCAAACTAAGCATTTTAAAACTGAACTCAATTTTCTTTCTCACAGATCTTTTATTCTCCCATTGTTCCTATCTTTTTTTTTTTAATATCAACTATTTCATTTGCCTGAAGACTAGTCCTTAATTCCAAATTCATCCTTCTCTCTCTTCTAAAACTTCTTCAAAGAGCAGTTAGAATGATTGTTTAGAAATTTAAATCTGACAGTAATTCCCCTGCCTAACACCTTTCAGAAACTTCCCATTTCACTGGAATAAAGTAAAAATCTTTTATCACTGCCTGGAGAGCCACACAAGATCTGGTGTCTGTGCACATCATTTACTTTATCTCTTAGCACATTCTATCCCCATTGTGGAATCCTTGAGTGGTGCAAACAGTGAAGCTTCTGACTATTAACTGAAAGGTGGGAGATTCAAACCCACCCAGAGGGTCCTCGGAAGACAGTTCTGGTGATCTGCTTACAAAAGGTCATAGCATGGAAAACTATAGGGAGCAGCTTTACTCTGCACACATGGGGTCACCATGAGTTGGAGTCAACTCAACAGCAAGTAACAACAAAAACAACAACAACCCCCACTGTATCCTAGTCATGATGCTCCTTCATGTCTTAGGGACTTCACATGTGCTCTTCCCTCTGGCCAGAACATTTTGCCTCTTCTTCTTTGAAGTCTCAGTATAAATATCCCTCCCAGAAGCCTTCCTTGACCTCTCTATTCTTAGACTAAGGTAGGGCCCCCTTCACATTTCACAGTTATGGTACTTGTACTTCTCAGTTATGGTATTTATCATAATGATTGGTTTAATGTCTATCTCCCCTTCCAGATTAAAGTTCACTTACAAGCCAAGACTTTGTCTATTTTGTTAACCTTATATCCTTAAAACCTGGGATAGATCTGAAAAATCTGAAATAGATACAAGGCAAACATTTGTTGAATAAATGAATGACCATTTCCTGTGTCACTTGCCTTGTCCTGTTTCTTTGGTCCAATTTTACAAGTGCCCGTGGTATATCAGCACTGGGCTAGGTATTATGGATATGTGTAAGGTACAGTTATCCCTGTGACTGACTCATAACTTCTCCTCTCACCACCAACCCCCTGAGTAGTGAAGCTGGGGAGAACAGAAATGTGAAGAGTCAGAAAAATAAAAGTTGTTTTTCTTTTCCTGGAAAATTTGGGGTTATGCATTTTTTTTGAAAATCATGCTTTAAATGTTTTACAAAACCAAACCAAACCTACTGCTATCGAGTCAGATTTGACTCAAAGCAACCCCTCCTTGGATTTCCAAGGCGGTATCACTATGGTAGTAGGTTGCCCAACCTTCCTTCTGAGGAGTGGCTGGTGGGTTTGAACTGCCAGCTTCTGGTTAGCAGTCAAATGCCTTAGGCACTGTGCCACCAGATCTCCTTTAAATGTTTTAGATATAGATTTTATTTATTATGATAATGTCTAAAAATTATGGAAAAGAAATATTTTAACATTTCTATCCCTTAATATTTTGTTTTCTTAATATTAACATTCTCTTAACATTTAACTCTTTATGCTATCTGATTCGTGTATATATGAAGAAGAAATAGTTCAGTAAAATTTTCAATTTCAAGGGTTAAATGACCTTTTTTCCCTTAGGACACTTCCTTTTTCATGAAATGGAACAAATTAATGTGGTATTTGTTTGAGTACTTACTCTTGTTGACTTTTTATCTTGAGGTTGATGAGTAAGTGTTGCCTTCATGAGGAGACCTCAAATATACACCAGATTGTTTTCAAAGTTTTATCACGAAATTAGGTAACTTCTACCAGTTCTGTAGGTGAGTGAAAGCAAGTGTGAAACATGTAAAATGTGTTCATGTTGTGACTACTCTCTTCCAAAATGCAAGAAGAAAATGAGGGATAAAATTGTGCTGACCCTCAGTAGTGAAAGCTGTTGGGTAGGGGATTATTCTTAAGAGTTTATTAGAAAAAGGGCATATCTAGAATACAGTAGTAGCTGTAGGTTTTAAGCAGAACCTACTGCTCTTAAGGATGTCTTCTGAATTGAACTGCTTAGCTTCTTACACATTTTAGAGGTACTTTGGTTAGGAAAAGGTGCTCTGATGTATAGTGGTTAAGGCATTTGACTGCTAACC